AAAGATGATACAAACTGAAAAGATATTTTATAGATTTCTAGATATATGAAGCTGTAATTATATTAATAAAACGCTAAATTCTCTCTGAAGTGATCGGATCGGTAAATATTGATTTGTTCGTGGTTTGCAATTTAGAACTAAATTACATGTAATTAATGAAATACAAAATAAATGATATAATCATACTTTTTATCGGTTTTAATAAAATAACAAATATATATATCGATAACAAAATATGCACTATTTCTTTATAACTTTAATATCCTTGCTGGATATTTAAGTTTGCATTATGTTACATATAAAACGCTTAAAGCTGTTTACAAATTTCTACATGCAAAGTGAAAAGAGGGTGATGTAACTCGAGAAGATTCCTTTTCATCTTTTATTTAGAAAGACAATAATAAAGTGTACAAATAATATAAAATTTGGAAACGAAACAGTTTTCGGTGCAAACTATATCGAAGGACAATCGATTGTATGTTGTCGGATATGAATTACTACTGACGACACTTAAAAAAGTTCACGTATGTAGGAAATATTCGCCAACAAGCTTGCTGACAACCTAAATGTACATTTGATGGCCTTCAGGATCGATCTCTACGTAACTGTAATAAATTATGTTAATGTTAACGGTATATCTTCGAGTTATAGACATTGACTTAGATCTGATTTATGCTCGGTGTAATCGACGGACCGGAAACATAAATCCTGCGGCGCAAGCTGCGAGGAAATAACGGAAAAATGAAAGAGACGCATAAATGATTATACATACATTTCGCGGCAGAGCTTTGGTAAACGTCACTCATTCACGTGCGTTCGTTTAGGCTCGATGGCATTGCATATTGCACGGAATTCAGTTGTATCGTGTATAATACAGAATTAAATACAGAAATGCAAGGTATTGTATATAAAAATTGCGTTTTCGCTGCGCTTCGTACGCGATAAAATCGTTATTTAAAAACAGGGTAACAGAAAGGAATTTTAACATCATTAAGAATTTGCTTACTTTTTCATTCCTTCGTTAATTCTAATTTCCTTCAATTCTCAAGTGTTACTCGCGAACATCTCAGTGACAATTTTACAAAGATTTCGAAGAACTGATCGACGCGTGATGACTATCCTTAGGGCGATCGATGATCTTAAAGATACAAGTAATTTCCTTCTCGATGACTTACAAGATACACGGAGCATAAATCTTCGACAATGAGCCCAGCAACTCGTCGTCCGAAACTCCTTAATCGATGTGCCTCTTACGACTAACATACACACTCAATATGTATCAGCTAAAATGTAAATGCAACTTGATCGCGGATACGAACTTCATTTAGGTTTACTTAGGGCAGTGTTAAGTAATTAGTTCCCTAAACGGTACGGCCCGCATTCGCAGCGCACTTGTAATATTTCGGCGTTTGCCCTGTCGTAACTACCTAGGTTATCACTTGAGGATTCGCAGTACGTCGGCTGTTTTGCGGTAGAAACAAGGAAAATTCATGGTAGTAATTGAGGGCCTGAAAATTTCAAACCGTAGTAAATCCAGAAAAGTCCAAATTAAGAATCCCTTCGATTCAGACGAGATGTTACATAGACCAAATTTCAGTTATGTTACGCCCATTTATTATAATATTTCTCGAGAAACGTCGCAATATATTTGTATCGTGTATCTTGAATAACATATGAGTCTTCCAGCACAAGTTACGTTACAAAAAGGCTAGAGGGAAAATGGTAAAAGGCAAAACTGATTGAATCTCAGATTTCTTTCGTTTTCCGAAAATTTTTAGTTTCGAAATTACTACGTTGTTTTGGTATTCAGGACCTTCATCCTCGCGATGATAAGCTATCGATACGGATCTAGTTAAAAAAAAAATCGTTCGCTCGTGTTTTCTGACTTTTGAATAATTCAGGAGTATGCTGAGCAGACATCGTCCAGCGTATGGTGGCTTGGTGGTAGGAAGGGATGAAACTAGACAGCCTCTTTTAAAGTGCGCCATAAACGCGGGCCCGAGCGAATCCTTAGCACGCGCTGTCCGGGTTTCGTGTCGCTCGTTCGCTGATCCACAAGTATTCTTGGACGTTTATCGTGACGAGGGGAAACGTTTAACGAACGTCGAATCGCGGCGGAGCTCTCCCAAAAGTCCTCGAACGATCGAAGCTTTCGAAAGCGACTGGAATGGTAGGGAGGGAAGGGAGAAGGAATACTTGGCGCGAATACGCAAATACGACGAAACACTGACGAGTATCTAGACGATCAGTCTTCTCTTTTTGGTTTAAGAAAGATCGAGAGAGAGAGAGAGGAGAGAAAGAGAGAGAGAGGGGGGGGGGGGAGAGGAGAGAACTGAGACGCGCGGCTGAAGCGGAGTGGTGGCTCGCGGGGTAAAGTACAAGTAATTATACCCTTTCGGAATCGGAGATAGTTTCGTGATCTCGGGTACGCGGATAAATGAGATGTGTGACGCTGCTCGTGCGACGGATCGCACACGCTGTGACTTGACGATATGTATATCGATATGAATTATTACTTGAACGTGGGATTTTTCTTTTATATATATATATTTATATATATTATTATATGTATATATCGCGCGCGAAGAAACGCAGCACGCGCGCATCTGCATTCCTATTTACATAACGGCTCGATTTTCGCGTTGCGATGGTGGATGGTCGAAGGTGCGAGTTATGTTCAGTATTGCATGAGCTCCTCCAAGTACTCCATGTAGTCGTTCTCCGACATCTCGACGTCGTCGTCCGGCCGATTGTCGGCGGCCCGCCGTCTCCTCACCAGCTCGCTCGTCACCTCGATGCAGAGCAGCGCGAATTTATTGTCGCACGAGTATCGTACTTGTTCCAACAGCCGGCCGCCGGTCAACGGCGAGCCTAATCCGTAGCGATCCGAGCTGCTCGAGTGCCAGGCGTCGCAGTAAGTGTCCATCGCACGGTCGCCGAGTTTGTGAGAGCCGTGCCACGCGACTTTCTCGGGCCTGCAATCGGAACGATGTTAATCTCGCGGGGGTTCAGAGAATAGAAGTAAAAGAAGTAGAGGCAGAGAAAGGAAATGCATCGCTTTGCATATATTTATATACCTTCTCAAATTGAGCAATAATATTATTCGCGAGTCCGCTTTGCGTTTGCCATAATTTACGTTGCAATTTTTATATTCGACAACTATTAGATTTTCTCTCGTGTAATATTTTCCTTTTCTATGCTTACCATGCGAAGTCAGTAAGGATGTTCTTCCCGTTGAAGCTGTAGATTCTGGGATTCTGGGAGAAGTACGCCCCATTTCCATTGAACATCTCCTTCCAAGAATTGAATAGCACGTCGCCCTAAATATTCCCGATTATTACTTAGTAAAATATTTAATTCTCCATAAAGAGCGTGACGGTAACAAATAAATATCACTGCCAATTACCTTTATGTTAACTATGGGAAGATCTCGATCCCCTAATCTGACAATGCTATCGACGTTTTGAACTCGAGAGCTAAGGAAAGCACGGAAGGTACCTCTCAAGCCTGCTCGCCTTGCTTGTCGATAGCAAGCGTAGTCTGCTCCTCGTATACCATGCATATCTCCAGTGAACGGCTCATTCAGCGCAGCCATCCTTAACTGAAAAATATGATTGAACAAATTTCCAGTTATAATAACGGCGAGTACACTTTTATGTCTTTAATTAAAGGTAAATGTACAAAAATTGTAATGAAAAAGCTATATTCTCCTTTGTTATTCATGCGCACAGAAATCATAAAAAAAGACGTGAAATATCATATTGCGGACAAACGGGCCGAGAGAGTCTCAAATAAAAATCTCATTAAACATACAATCTCACCATTCGCGGATACCACTGCGCAGCATGGGAAAAAAAACGCAAATTCGATATTAACACGTTTAACTTGTACAAACGTGTCTCGCACAAAATAAGTTGGAGGCGTCAACTTACCCCTGTACCGTCGGCTTTCACGGGTATCTGGTTAATTAAGTTGGATGCCTCGAAAGGAGGATTCGCCGGCGGTGGAGATGTCGTTGGCGGGGCTGGCGTTGTGATAGGCAAAAGTGATCCGAGCTAAAGAACAGATTGAGAGAAATTTCATTTCAACACAGTCATAGTATTTTACCAATTTACCATAGCAACTCGATACTGACTGCAATGTATTGCCACCCGTTGTTAACTCTGACTAGTAACGCTTGCTCGTCTATGATGTAAGCCAGGGTCCCGACCGGACTTACGCTAGACATCTGCGAAACGAGAGAGTGTCAAAAGTAGGCTCGCGCATAAATAAGCAACGATTGCGAATTTGGGGAATATCTTACTTTTGTCATGGCTTCTGTGTTTTGGAACGTAACAGCTCCTGGCACAATTTTCGTTGTACTTTCTAAAGGTCCCCTCGTAGCGGCAGTAACAACACCTTGAAGGAGATTTTTCAACTTGTTTAAAGATACAAAAATATCGATGTTACAATGTGCAGCTAACGAAAGATAAAGCATCGAAAGAGCGGCGGTTCTGATGCGTGTATCATTTTATTATCGTGCTGTAGATATTACCTAATTGCTCTTTCAGTTCTTTCAGTTGCTTGAGTTCACGCAGAGCTTTCAATTCGTCTAGACTACTTCTGGCTCCTTGCGGGTATGCGAGTACAAAATTTAATTACATTATCAATAATTTGTGAATATAAAGTATGCTCGATGAAACGGCTATTTATCTCGCGAACAGAATAATTCAACGAAATATTACTAACGGAACGAATTTTTAATTTATAATACTCAAACGCCCTCATTAATATAGTGATATCGAATATCTTAATTAATATTAAACATAGTTTGTATTTGGTCTAACAATTTATAATTTATAATTTTATAATTTTGTTATCCAAGTACTGAATAACTGAAAAGTATTATCAAGTTATAATAACTGCCAACTTTCTAATATTTCTTAACGTCTTTACCTTGCCTGGGAGGATAGTAATCTCTTTCTCCGAAAACGTGGCTTCTACCGATCCCGGGCTCTCCTTTCTGTCCGATTAAAGACAAGCCGGGCGGGCCGGGGGGTCCGGGAGGACCTGGAGGCCCTGGTACTGGAATATATTTTCCTTGAGACGGTGCTCCAGGAGGTCCGGGAGGTCCTGGCGGTCCTCTCTGCCCGTCTCTTCCCGACTGCCCAGGAATCCCGGGGAAACCGTCGTCTCCCTTGTCGCCTTTGATCTAAAAACGTATTTAACGGATGAATAGATCGTCTTCGCGGATAATGTCTTTCACAGAGGCACGTCAGTGTAATCCAACAACTGCCGATTATCGATCTGCTTTTTTTTATCTTGCCACTGCACAACGCACCGTTTCGGTAGACAGATTTGTGGCAAGTCAATAAGTAGTAAAGTATTATCAAGAACAGGCGCGATTGATTTATCGGAAACATCAAAGAATGAGATGTAGCGATCGCTTAGGCGCATCACGTCGGCTTTCTGTCGACGTCTCTCCGTCGTGTTCTTTTTCACGAATGTTCAGAGGAGTTTACGTGCTAGGCGCGAGAGGCATCCTTTCGATCGTGGGAAGGCGATATCGGAATTTCCTGTTGCTCGGCTGATCGCTCTTTCTCGAGAAATAATCTATCCTTGTCGTTATCAATGTTGTATTATGCCCTTAGAAAAATGATGGATATCTCGAGCGATTTTTTTTTATTGTTGTCCATGCACCTTTTTATGGAATTTCCATCGGAAAGATTTCGTTTTATTGCATTCACTGCATCTCTCGGCTGATAAGCGCCGCTAAGAAATTCTATTAGGATGTCCCAAACGTATAAAAAAATATTTTAAGAATTGTTCAACGATTTTGCACGCGCATTTCTCCAGATCTTATCACGACCCGGGAAAAAAATGTTTATATATAATCATATCTGAGTACAATTAATTGTCAGATATAAGTATGTATGGATTTTGTCCCTAGACAATTATATGCGACGTAAATGTGAGTTTCATATCGTCTGATAACACAGAAATATGTTCGAAATATTTAAAATATTAATTTTAATACGTTATAAATATTTAACAAAATATATATATACGATTATATTATTATATATTGTACATATATGACCATATATGATCTATTCAATGAAATACTATATAAAAATATTTATGAAATACTTTGATAAATATTGATAAAGTATTAAAATAAATTTCTTAAATATTTGTACATATTTGTGTGCTATCGAACGATATCGAATTCACATTTACGTCACATATAATTGGCTAGGGACAAAATCCATACATGTTTATATCTGAGTTAGATGTACTCAGATATGATTAGATATAAACATTTTGTCCCTGGGAAATAAATTTTATATAGTATATAACAAGTGCTTCAAATAAAGCCAATCAAAATATAGTTAAAATTAATTGAAAAATAAAATACCGTTTCGCATTTGCAGCTTCAAAGTGTAATTCATATAAAAAGCTGTTATTTCCATAATAGGGCATTCCCGAAAATTTTAATCGAGGAAAGAATTAATTTTAAACTCATAAAAAAATCAGCTTTGTAAAATATCGTTCCGTCCGGACGTTCCGGTGCATTTTTGCGATACTTTATTTTCTCCTTTGGCGCAATTGCCAGTCTGCTTTACGCACTACGTAACAAGATGTTGTAATATTTAAAAGGATTGTTATTCGGATACGTCGACTGTGTGCGAATACGTCACGCTCGCGCACACGTACGAGCTCGCGGCAAAGCGGGGCGCTATCGCGCGTATCAGCATACGTTATTTGTCAGTTGTCGGCCGTGACAGCTCGCGAAACTCCGTGCGCCGCGGCGGAGAAAATTTCTGTTTGGCGCAACGAATAAATCCAGCGATGAAGACGCGAAAAAAAAGGGGCGCACGCCAGGCGCACTCTTGCATTAATTTCCATCACTCGAGCGCTTCGCCGCCCGTTGTTCAAAGACTTCCGTATCGTCCTATTCACAAGGATATATATGCCCCGCCACTTTAATCTGCCAGACCGAAACCGCGCGAGGTGAAAACCATTATTTTTATTTCCGCTCCTTCCCCCCCCTCCCCTGCTCCCCGGCCCGTATACCCTTTTCTCTTTGAAACAAAGGGCAACATCTCCCGTTCCCGGCTGTTCGCGGACGATCGACTGGCAGGTTGCTCACTCGCGTGAAATTCTGTTTCCGAGGGAAGGCTCGGTTTGATTTCTCGATTCTCGACCTTTTGGTGAGCGCTTGGATTTATATGTAAAGTTAGCGCGCGCGCGAGAGAGAGAACTTTACACGCGCGGGCGATACCACGACAAGAAACTGCAAGTTATACTTACACCGACGGAAACGCCGTAAGGACTTGGTGCGCCAGGCTCCCCCTTTTCTCCCTTGGGTCCCATTGGTCCGATACTTCCCGGAATTCCAGGAGTCCCAGGACGACCCTGCGGAAGACAGTGACAGATGAATCGTTCGTTTGCATTTTAATTAGCGCGAGGGATTTGGTTGTTTTGACACGTCCGACGCGTAGTGATATAATTTTCATCTGCGTTTAAAGGTTTCTATATTAAATGCTTCTCTCTTTCTTAATCTGCGACGACTCGCATTTAATCTTGCGACACGAGAGAAACGTTCGTAATTATCTACTTAGGAATATAAAAAAAAAGTGCTGCATTTAGCGCCTGTGGTTTGATTAAAAGCTCACCTTTATCGTGTTCTTCGGTTGGCGTTGTGAAAAAAATAAAAATAACTTTCTTTAGAAACGAGATACCCCAAGGTAACGTTGTTATAGAATATTTTTCTGACGTATGCTATTGTCAATAACATTGAATGCTAACGCAGTATTAATAGATGCAATAATTATGCGGTACAAATAAATATTAAGTACTATCAATTATATCACTATATCATTATTTTAATCAGTAGAATTTCATTGTTATATGTTATTTAACATTATTTCACGTCATTATCATTTTATTATAATATCCATTAATTTAGTTAGTTATTTGATTAGTATTATAATAACGTAAAGCGAAGTAACGAATCAAAGTACGTACCATCCATCCTGGCAGACCAATTTCTCCCGTAATTCCCGGTTTCCCGGGAGGACCCACAGGACCGGGCGGTCCAGGCCGTCCTCTCCTGCCCCGTTTTCCTTCGGCGCCTTTCTCACCTTTGATGGTGATATAGTCGCCGGAATTGGCGACGGTAGTGGCTCCAGGAGGACCTCTCTCGCCTCTCTCACCTTTAGCGCCAGGTATGCCGGCTAATCCTGATACTCCGTCTTTACCCGGTTCGCCTTTATCTCCTTGAGGCCCTTGAATACCGTTTATTCCGGGAATACCAGATGGCCCGCCGTCGCCCTTATCGCCCTTCTCGCCCTTCGTGCCTTTATCGCCCTTGTACCCGCGCGCTCCAGCATCGCCCTTGCCCCCTTTTGTCCCAAATCCTTGATTAAATAATATTTCGAACGTTACGTTTCGTTGTCCTTCGTCGTGACGCAATATTGAATTTCTTTACCGTGAGAAAACGTCGTTAATACTCCACAATCTTCAACTAAAAACTTACATTCGATATAAAAGATCCGAGAAAATTGAGAGAGATCATCTCTTAACTTTTTACGATATTTCTAAAGTCTTCAATTTATATGTAATAAATAATAGAATTACCAACGCTTTCACGAAGCAATTGTATGGTCATTTATTTTATTTTTCGAAACATTTTATTAATGTCAGACTGACTTATCGTAACTAATAAAACGACTAATAGAATAGTTAATTAAAAAATTTTGGCTAGTTCTTTACTTGTTATATAAAAGGCAATGTGCAAAGAATAGATAAATGAATGAATGTTGGATATTTGTGATTGCTATATGTTTAAAGAGAAATCGGCACACCTAGATCTCCCACGTTAATGCCACCGGGTCCGCCCACACCCGGTGGACCGGGTGGTCCTGGAGGCCCCAGTTTTCCTTCAGGTCCCGTGTCGCCTTTATCGCCCTTCTCCGCCGGTCGCCCGTTTTCCCCGGGTGCGCCTGGCAAACCAGGTGCACCAGGCGCGCCAGGTTCACCCTTAAAGCCCTGAATTCCTCTAGGACCGTCTTTCCCGTGATCGCCCTTGGCACCTTTGTGCCCGGGTTCGCCTTTGATACCTTTGGACCCGGGTATTCCAGCCTCGCCTTTAGGTCCAGGACTTCCCGAAATACCTGGCTCACCCTTTTGCCCTGGAAGTCCTGGTCTCATTGTGATACCTTCCGGCTAGATGGACAAATATTTAAACAAGAGATTATTTCCTGCATAATTGATCAAGTTGCCACACACATGGACTGTTTATTAGGATCTTATACTTTGGAGAAGGAATTTCGGATATCGGGGAAGGTATTTACAATGCAATCAGAATGCTCCAGTCCGTACTCACTCTGTAAATATTTCGAGGTTTCCAACTGGGCTGCATGCGCATAATAATCGAAATTTCCCCGTTAGATCGTTGGAATAACGTTGCGAGACTGAAAGCCTTGCGGGCCGGCCTGACACCGCCGTCTATACGTTTGCATCGCCATTGATCAGTAGCGAACAATTGTTGCGCGAACAATTGTTGATGGCGCGAATTGCTTTAGCATAAATCGAGTCGTAAGTGCGAATTTCATTCTTAAATACGCGGGATTCCGTTCGCTCGCTACGTAATTTAGACTTTTTCAAAGACGAGGTAAGACATGCGGAAAATAACGAAAAAGGGAGATTCTTTCTTATTTGCTTAAAACGTTTTAATCTATTAGAAAATATAGTGTATGTGTGTGATTACGTAGAAAATTATGTACAAAAATAATCGTATATTATCATTTATAATAATGCATATACGTAAATGTTCCAAAGATTGCATACATAGCAAAGGTATTTAGTAGTTTATATGTTTAATCGAGGTTAAAATAAAAAAATAATATGCGATATAACATGTTTCTAAATATCTCGCGTTTTCTCACATTTAAAACGGTTCCGTGCGAGGAAAGATTAATTACTGCTGGGCGATACACGCTATTCAGTACGTAGTTGTTTAAATCGAACAAAATACGTTAGTATAGAAAATACTTTTAAGCTCTCTCTTTCTTTTAAAATATTTTCTTCCTATCGCTCGCATTCTGAAGCGATTATTCTCTTTTTCGCATTAGTACGGCACTTCGCTATAAATCATGTCGCTGCGATTTCTGTAAATCTATATATCAATGCCACCGTTCGTTTCATAACTCGTCATACCCATTCAGAGCTTCTCGCAAACGGTTTGAAACTTTTAGACTTCTTCGGCTATTGATAGAGAAACGATATATGTACAGCTTCTTCTACATTCTCTATATTCAACTGCACGTCGGCAAATATATCGTTCCTCCCTCTTTATGAAACTGTGAGAATTGTTTATGTATCCACCGTATAACAAATGGTTTCGTTAACTTGGAAACGCGTGTTAACAAATAACGACACTATCTGGTTGAATTAACGACGTGCCTCGCAATTGATTAACATTTCACATTAATCGTGAAATGCACACAGTATTTTCGCTATTCGCACATTTATACAATTAATATTTAACGGGGTCTCGTCCATAGTGGAATTCGTCCAAATCTCACTCCTTCGCTCTTGGAGTCGTAAAATTAGGCAGTTCATCCCGTATGCATCTTTCCGCTGGAACTCAATGGCACTTTATTCGCACCGAATTCTACTCTCTACCGCTGTATATATAGCACGTACCTATAAATCCGCTTCTACTTTAAAGCAGTTCTCCGGCGGTAATACATCGTGGCGCGGCCTTAATACAATTTCCGAATTTTCTCTTCCACCCGGTTCTGTTCATTCAAATTCCAGTCCGCGCGATCGCTCTCGCTGGGAAACATCTGCCGAACCGATCGGGTGCGCCCCGCACACATGCACACATCGAAACGCGCGAACATCTGAATTGAGTATTATTGGCCCGTCTTGAACGACGTTCCGGGACGCAACACCCGCGCATCTCCGAGCCTTCCTTCCTACCTGGCGTACACCTAGCCCCGGTATATGCAGTAGGCAGCCTAGAAATTGGTTTCTGTATTCCCCGGGGAAATCGGGCTCTCGCACATCCGGAGGAAGGACCGGGCGCGAGGCGGGGTCACGTAAGATAACTGTTACTGTATGCGTATGTGCGCGCGCGCGTGTCTATCTTTGCATAAACTGCCCCGACGACGAAGTTGGCCTCTAACGTGGCCAGTATTTAGGCCTCAGACATGTGTGCTCGTATTTCAGATCGCCCCATCTGGATTCTATATCTCCGCGATCGAGCGACGAACAATTGAGCTATTTGTAGTGCGATTCGATCGATAGATGCTCCTTATTGCTTATAGTATCGCGAAGATTGAAATAATCTAAATGGGATTCTAACAAACATCGATCGGGACCAAAATATTATAAATATTACACGATAAGCGTACGCGCGAGTTAAAGTACTGGCATATTTATGAAGCTATAATCTAATAAATACGTTTCCAGTGTCTATTAAGAAAGACTTACGTAACATTTATTTGAAACAATTTAATAATGCGACTTGATCGAGTTCCCTCCAAATATACCATTATTCTAGTCTCGTTTTTAAAAATCGCTCTATAAAAGTCAATGCATTATCACTGAATACTGTACTTATAACTGCGAATCAGTGAATATTCACTCATTCAGTTTTACTTTTAGAGAGCACGTGTCTGGACGTTCTTATTTAATAAAACTCAATTTCGCAGCAAAGAGAGAATCTATCAGTGAGGAATACAGGTCGATTCGATCTCGACAAATTTTAATTCAGACTTTCTCATACCGGTTCGGTTTTCGTTAAACGAGATACAAGCATGCGCTTTAGAATCAACAATTCGAATATTTGAAAAGGGCGGATACCATTTGCTCCTTGAGAATCTTTATCAATGATGTATATACATTCAATGCTCTAACGGGAATTAACTACTAGCAGCACAGTTCTATTGTTTCAGATCGCCTATGTATATGCATCCTCAACGACACATATATCCGACGGTATAGATCGTTACGTTGCAGTTGCAATTGTCGTAGTTTTCCTCGTAGGTTCCTAAACAAAGCTGCGAGCTTTGCCAATTTCGTTACGTCGTAAAGACGTATGTCTCTTTTATAGTCGCTTGAATTATCGATGCCGCCGCGGAGCCACAATACGAGAATTTATTACGCGTGCAATAGGCGGTGTAATCTAATTCGCAAAGTAATCACTCTTCCTATTCTTCTGCCACACGCTCAATTCTTTGTGAAAAAGAATCTGTGTAAGCAAAGTGAAATTTAAGTTTTCCGTTACGTGCAACTTTCTGTATTCAAAATAAAACTACTATTCATCTCTGGGATTTTACATTTAGAATCGAATGAAATGTATGAAATTATTCTTCGACAGCATCGTGTCGGCGTGTCTATATCGTATTATCGTCTCGTGCTCTTTAGATTAATAGAGATTAATAAAATTCGAAATTGTCACACGATATCAAACGGATCAAACTGACGCTCACAACAAGCGATAGAATTTAATTAAAGAATTATAATATTACATTAATGACATTTATCCGATTCATTTATCATAATGTAAAATTCAAATACACACATAATAATCCTACAATGGATTATTATCCCGAGTGCGATTGCAGCGGCAGGAAGCTCCCAATGTTTTCCGCGCTCTCAGCTCTCCGAGAGTAACGAGATTTTTCCTCCGCTCTCTGCGATGTCTCAACAATTACCAGGCTAGGTCAGCTACGCTTTTTTCCGGCGGTGTAACATTTGGAAGCGTGCCACCGGCACGAAAACAGAAAACCGTAATGCCCGGCACTGCGCTCCCTCCCCCTCCGTTTTTTTGTCCCATTTTATTTTTTACATCTTCGTAGCATGAGGGTGGGATAAATATTGCGTCACCGCCGATCTTCCAGCGATATGCGGGTGCATCCGCGTCACGGGTTTATGTCGTTGATAAAGCGGCGCGATTCGATTCGATGGCGCGACGATGATGCCCTCCGTTCTGCCAGGCCGCTATATTTCTGCGCGACGTCGTTGCGCTTTCCGCCGCGAAAACCGCGTAACAAGAGAACAAGGTGAAAAACGACCGCATCTCCGGGGGTAAATTGACGGTTTGAGGTGCGACAGGATCGTTACGTTCCCGCGACAGCGCGGAGATTTCTTTTCTCTCCCGTGGCCAGAAACGGTTTCAGGAATTGAACCACTACCGCTGACTTTGACAGCGTGGAATATCAATCTCAAGTAGATTTAGCCTGTTCTATGCAGCGCTATCCGAGCGTTGCCAAAAATCGACGTTTGCCACAAAGAGTTATCGCGGGTTGCGAAACAGATAATCAAGGCGCTGCGAATGACGGAACGCTGGAAAGTAACGGAAGCAAAATTGAAAAGAACTTGCGAATGAACGGGGACAGATGAACAAAAGTAAGATGACGAAATCTTTAATGGGCAACATTACGTTTCGTTTTGTTAAATGTCACGCCTATACGATAATAGCAAATATGAAAACAGCAAAGTTATTTTCTTTTATCTTCAGCACGCACTAGTCTCTTTATCGCTCGAATTTTCTTTTACACTCTTTGAAACGTCCTAGTTATCGTCACGAAGAAAGTCGGAAATGTTGCGACTATAAAAAAAGAGCTTGTTGTTTATCGGGAAAAATGGGTAGAAGTCGGGAATTTTTCGCGTTATATCCGCGTGTAGCATCCCCGAAATCACATTTGTCCGCATAAAACTCACTCTAAACCCTTTACCGCCGTTAATGTCGCACGTAAGTAGATGCATTGCCGTGCGCTGTACATCGTTTTAGTATCGCAGATCCGTCAGCGGGATTCGGGACCATTTTTCGTAGCTGGCAAGAAAGGCGAGTGAGATTCGCCGCGTTTTTAAGAATGGACCGGGACGAACCGCAACAAAGTACGGAGAGAAAGCGAGAAAGAGAGGGAGAGAGAGAGAGAGGATGTTCAACGGGGAACGAGAAAAGGGAGGAGGCTGAGGATCGGACTTACAGAGCTCGGCCGTTATTACGTGCACAGTTTCTTATTCCCTGCGGGGCGATACGCGTTCCATTCCCATTCAACGAATTTCTTGTCGCGTCGAGTGGGGACAGGATCGCTGTAGTTGTCGTTTCGGTACACGTAAAAGCGGTTGCACGGGGAGCAGTATGCTGCGACGTGGCTTGGAGTACACCTTTGCATGCACTTCGAAACGCGATAGCATGGATAATATAGTAATAATACTTGGCCATCTCAATAACAAGATATAAATTGGATCGTCTACTCTACGAAAACGTCGCAATTCCTTATACGATTAATATCACAAATACGTCTTTTATAACGAAGAACGTAATTTCGGGTAAACTGACTTCGGTCTTTTATATTTAATAATAAGAATTTAATCTATGAGATGTAACAAGTGTCACATGCGTCGCTCCTCGATTAAAACTCATCGTTCCTCCAAACGTAAAGTCGCGCTATATTTTTTCAAAAGCGGCAGAATTGTCCGCGGCGCGAACAATTCTCACTGTACGGTGTGTCTGAGAAGAGTTTATTTAAAAAGATCAGCCCGCTTCCTGTTACTTTAACAAATATTAAATATTCGTTCAAGTAGTTTCCATATAATGATAATCCGCAAATATGATGGAGAAAAATGGTTAACTGGGATAATTTGCTGAGAGTTAATATACAGTGGATGGCGCCGAATGCGATGTTTAAATAGCATACTTTTGATAATAGCCCGACGATTCCGCGAGAGGAGATATGGCCCTCCATTTCCCACCGAGTTTCTCGCTGCCGTGTGTCCGTTTCGGGAAAATAGCGAATAATACGACTGAGCTAGATTCATACGAGGATAATGAAAATTTCTTGAATGGAGATACTTATCTACTTATTATAGCGACGACTTCGTACGGTCGGGCGCGCTTGAATTTCCTCGACTTCGCAGTAATCGCGTACACAATAAATGTTCTTCTCTAGCAAATTTCTCAATGTCATATCTCTTGCGCTAACATTACCCCTCCGTTCGCCCGGTCTGCGTTTTCATGTCACTGTTATATCCAGCAGAAACCATTTAGGCAAACATCCCGCTCTTCCCTCCAGCTTCTCATTTCACGATAATAGAATATATTAAATTTTTAATTCTACAGCGGTATGACAATAGTCATCCGCTGTTATTCAAAATATATGGTTATATCACTTATGTAAATACACAAAAGCCTACTCATATAATACATATAATATATAATCTTGCGTCATTCATAGGCATTTCGACTTTGTCGAAGGAACGCAATTGCTTTATTAAATATATTAAATGACATATGTCGTCGAAAAAATTTTCATCTCTTATTAAGGTAATTGTTGTACCTATTTTCGTTACAACAATATGCGCGATCATCGATAGTTAATAATAGAAAGAGTAAATGTGAATTCCAATGAAAGTGTTGTGTAACTTGTCGCCGCGAAAATAACAAATATAAAGAAAATCTCGCGGGGATAAGCGGAAATGGCGAATGCAAACGCGGAGAGAGGGCGCCGGGGAAAATATTTTAACTTGGCTTTCGGCCTCGGCATGACAGATCATATTCAAGCGTGGCAATCTACTTACGTCATAGCCAGAAAATTCTCCTTTTCCGGGCGGCCCCGGCGGACCTTGCGCACCCTTTTCACCGGGTATTCCATCCCGACCCGGCTCGCCCTTCTGACCTTGAGGACCTTCCGGTCCCGCTATTCCAATATCACCCTTGTCACCTTTAGCCCCGGACGAACCCTGCAGTCCTCTTTCCCCTGGCGGTCCTGCCGCACCCTGAAATCGTGACATTATTTAAGCGTAAATTATGCATAACGGTATTGTCTAGCCGACGAATAGAAGCGCCGAAAGTGATGCAGTTTCCCAAAAAGATTAAGTTTCGGGAAAAGACTAAAAAAAAGGAGAGAAGTTCTATTGAAATATAAACGATTTATAAAATTTGTTTTTTTACCATTTTAATATTTACCGCATTTTTAGATATCTTTTGATATGTAAAATTAGAATTGATCAGAAAGTAGTTAAAATATGACTATACATGACTTTTAGCGCTTTCATTGAATCTTTGATTAAATCGTGCGAATGAGAATCGTTACCGTGAGGCCCATCAGGCCCTGCTTGCCTTCCTGTCCGGGCACTCCTGGCTCACCCTTCGGCCCCTGTATCATCTTTGGCATCGTAAAGGAAGACATTAAGGCCGTGGCGTTGCAGGTGCAAGTGCCGGGGTCTCCCTTCTGACCAGGTGGTCCCTGTGGTATCTTCATTTGCCAATCCTTGAAATATCAAGCCATTTAACATTCGCTACTGTAACTTAATACTGCTTTAGCGAATCAGTTGTAATAGCGTTTACGACTAAGTATCAGCAAACTATTCGTTGCAGTAATGAACAAAGCGATACAATCAAGTTCCGGCGGTGTCTAAAAGCAAATACGCATGTATACCGCGTACCAATAACAGCGGAAGATAGTAAGCGCCGTGAAAGCGGCTTTGATGTAATCAGTGTTATATGCGACAGGCGCCGGTTCTCCGGCGGTGTCGATGTTAAATTGACTCACGCGAATAACAAGATAAATGAGTGATCCCGGATTCAGGCGCATTCAGGCCGCCTTCAATATCGTACCTACGCCCGGATCTTCGGACGCGATTGTGGTCCCTACAGTTTAATATAACGAGATGTCTACACCTCGCAGGTAGCACAGAATACTCCCTCGACTAATAAAATCCTATACCGCGATCTAAATAGCTAAATAGGACAGTATAACGTAACGGTCTACGTACAATTCTATGTACATTGCGGATAAATTTTGAAATAAGATAAGATACAGTTCATATTTTTCAATCGATGATTTATGCGCGTACATATTATATTATTGTAAACTATTGTCTGTTGAAATTTTTTCTTTCGTTCTGTCGCAAATACACACTTGTGCAATAATTGCAAAATAAATGGCCACAGTGGTAATTACGATGAAATAAAAGTAATTATATGATTCTCATTAATTGGGATAACTTCTTAATAAGTTATTCCATTTATGGTAATAATTTCAACCGATAATTCAATTCAATCGTTACTAATTATTCAACTGTATCGATTTAGGTATTACTGGAGAGAGAGAGAGAGAGAAAAAGAGAAGGGGGGAGGGAGAGAGGGAGAGAAAGAGAGAGCACAAGAAATAACAGTCTTTTTTTGTGACTGTTCATCTTGGGATTAGTCTGTAAAAAAGTTTGTTGATTGCGCGCGTAATGCACTCACCTCGTCGCGGCCAGGCGGGCCAGGAGGCCCCGGGGGACCCCTGACGCTCTCGCCCTTGTCCCCTTTGTCGCCCTTCTCGCCTTTCGGACCTTTATCTGAAAAAGAACGAATGCACCGCCATAAGTCTACGCAACTTCGTCGCTCTCTGTTTTGACACGCCCGGGTGATTTATGCGCGCGAAAAGTAGATTAAAAAAGTTTGCTTCATATTTTATCATCGTTTCTTCGACACGATACCTCCGAAGTCGACGTCGCGCATCGACGTCGGCTATAGCGAAATTAATAAACGATTTTTAACACGCTGCCCTATCTTTCCTAAGCTAGGGATGTCGGATTTAAAAAAGAGAGAGAGAGAGAGAGACAGAGAGAAGATATTGATGTTTCGGTGCATTGATAAATTGGAAAACTGTCAGACTAAAACTGTCCCAAAATACTGATACGATATATTGATATTTTGAGATAGTTCGAATATCCTCGCAATAAATTAGGAAAGTTGCGCTAGCGTGACAAAAGATAATAAATAAATATATCCGATTGTGAAACAAATTTGATTTACATTTCTCAGTGTAAAATAAAATACAAATCTCATGACAACAAATAAATGCACATCAGGTGTGATGAGAGATGAAGAAAAAAAAATGGAAAAATCGAATTAGCAGTAACAGTTGTTTCATTCGAAAATATCGAGACAAAATAATCTTGAATTGAATGATTTTTGGAAATTGAATTATGATTTGGATTAATTTAAAAGACAAGGGGCACGGATGTTTTCATAAATTGATTATTTTCGTGACTCTAGTTACATGTATAACAGTATGCTATGCATACGATGTTATGTCAAATTCAAATATAATTCAATAAAGCATAATATTTGACGAGGGTTGAAAAATCGTCAGCTACTTGACGACCTTACTTACAATCTGGATTCGGAGGCGGGGGCGTGATGAATGGCGGCGGGTTACTCTCTTCACTTTTGTCTTCGTCCGTATCTCGACTGATCTGAAAATGTATCACAAGCAGTGCCGATAAGATCGGATTACGCCATCTCGTTAAACGATACATAATAGGACGATTATCGACGTTGTTGTCACCGTTCGTCGATCGCTAATTCAGGATTCCGTGCAGGCGTGCGAGTAAACACTGCGTGTAATATTTTTATTTACAGCACTTACAAGTAGTTGCGACGAGAATAGCGAAGCAGCGGTCGATTTACCGAGCCGATCAGTTATTTTAAATGCTAATTACGGATGTTTTATAAATCACAATATTGAAGCGTGACGCGAGGACGTATCCACTGCTTTCGATTAGCTTCGCAAAGAGACGACAAATATTTGCGAATTTAAATGCTCATTAACATTGCGCTGATCGGATTTATTTTTGCAGGTGGTATCGGATGCGGGAACAGGAATTGAGATCGATCTGTAATGCATTACCTACAAGATGACATGTGAAAGCTGACAGCAGAACGTAACGTATGTAAGTCATAAAATTTAATACGCAATTTGATTAGATAATGTGCGATGTTATTCTTACGTTTCGACGCATCCCGACTATCACAACTGCCATCGCAAATTGTTAGTCAGTAGTATAAATGATCGCATGCGCCAGTTGTGTGAACAATACAATGTCCAAGTAAAGTTCCTCAGACGTGATACCGGACCTGTCTTGTACGTTAAAAGCGAATAATACATCAAGCAGTGACGGTGATTAATGAAGTTCCAAGCCAATCAGGCAGTATGGTTAGCACACATGACACCAGCCCTAAGTGTTTTCCGATAATTATCGGTAACGACGGCGCTTTATCGGGCTGAGTCGACGTCCGGTTAGGATTTTTCGGAGATCGAACGCGTTCTTGCGTTATTACAAAAATCGTTCCCTACTTCCGTTATCAGAAATCTGTTAAATTTGCTCAAATGTACCAGAGATATATCATACTTTAGTCACATTTTCTTACTTGGGGAGAAAGATTAATATATAAAGTTATTCAATATTGGAAACTTTTATACAATTATACGTTCTTGTTTCATGAGATTCATAATATCTTACTCGTACGCGTTTCTGTACTAAATTTTCAAATTAATTCAGCGACCATTATATAAATGTACTCTGTGAATGAATAATGTCTAGGCATTGAATAATTAAAATTTATAAAATTTCAATATAATATGAAATTTAAAATCAATGATAAATGATTTCATTATAATTTAAACCACTTATATATGTTTAACTTTTGTATATACATAATTGTATATATATATATGTATCTGGACAGGTGTATACATATACAAAATTATAAACGCACCGAAAGCTATATGCATGCATTACTAATGTAGACAAGTATGACATTTGTCTCTTTCTTTTGGCGTTGAAAAAGAACGGGTTATATTCTATTTCTAATAACCAGGCGAAAGCACGCAGTACAATTCGTTTTTCAAACGTTCGATTCGGTCATTTTAAATGGGGATATTTGAGACCTACTCGTGCAGTGTTGTATGAGCCCAAACAGTTGAATATCTTCGAAACTATTGTTCATTACAAACTAATTTTTTTTCCCGACAATCCAATATTTCTCGAATACAATTTAATGAAAGAAAACTTGGTGGCGGATTGTATTTCTCGTTACAATGAAGATTCGGATCTTTTTTTCGATTGAGGATTTTGTAACATTTTTTTAACGTACGTTTTCAGTTACGTTGCGTATTGGAACACTACAAACACGTGCAAGCGCGAACAAAAAATACATTTGTCGCATCTGTCGCGCTGCTGCAATAACGTGTAGTATCGAATAAAACAAAAGGAGTATCCTCAGCGTCCATTCGTATGTAACTTACATTTATTGCGCACGTTTCGCTTATTTTACGCTACGGTGGATTTATAATTTCGCATGTAAATTAGTGTCATTCGTTATTAGGGGCACAACAGTTATTTGCAGGTACAATGCATTCGTATAATGAGAATTTAGAAAATAAAGTGACAATAACGCGTAAATAGTCGTTGTAATTTGTAATACGTTATAATGAAGAGTTGCAAAAACGGAATTTTGTCATTGTACACCGTAACGTTTGCGCAAAGGTTACCACGGGGCTATTAATCGCGCGATTGTTATGATCTCACACTTCGTCAGAATTTATAAGCGTGCATAATGGTGATAATAATCCGCGATTCTTACGTGCTATTTCGATATCTGCCCGGCTACGCGAGATTTACGGCGCGCGGTCGGCGGTAGTTTGAATAATTATATGTATTTCGACGTGCACGGGGGTTACATCGGCGAACCGACGAAAACGTGCGCGCAGGGAATACGGGCGGGGTTTTCAGTTTCGGTGAAAGCAGAGCAGACAGAGAGGGAGAGAGAGCCGCTCTGTGCGCGCGGCACTCTCGTCATATTTAATTCGTGCCTTTTTCCTCCTCGTATACGTTCATACCTCGTATATGGTGGAATTGCGCGAGGCGTGCACGCATCCGCACGTACGCGGCCAAGGAAGAACGGCCGTAAACACCTGCCGCACGAGTCGCAGTAACACGTAGCGTCACGACGACACGTCGCCGTCGCAACCCCGGGCGTTACCATCGAAATCGTTCACCCGGTACATGCCCTGATCAGCTCTCCCATGCACGACCGCGTCTTTGCATCCCGCCGCCGTACATTCCCGGGGCTTTCCGCGAGAGTGGGATTTTACGGGTGAAATAAATTCCGCTCTTCTCCGCGCCGCGAAGAAAAGCTCCCCCGTGCGCGAGCCAACCGCGACTGAACTTGGACTGCATTTCCGCGCGAGCGGGGAAAGATCCCCGGCGAAGGATGCGGGATTGCTATCATAAGAATACGCATTTACCGTTATTTGTTCGATGTATCTCGTTGAACTCTGCAGTCGGACCGGATAAACGTCGGATCGACTCGCGGAGCCGCTGATCGTTAGACGTTACCTGCAGTATTCAACGTGGCTCTCCGCTCGATTACTATGCGGTGAAACGGCCGATATTCCTTCCAACTGCATTTAATAACTAAATGCAGTTCTAGTCTTTTAATATCATGGTCGCGCTTCTTGCACTCGAAAACCCGATATTTGATTACACGTCAATCATATCGGCGATTTATTATTTATTTATTACACGGTAAACGCACATATGAAGAATTTTGCGACGTGTCTAGTAAAGTTGAGAGATTGATAATCATTTCCGCTGGACGAGATGGTATCGTGGTATATGTAACGTGAATCGTGTTGATCCAATGAATTCAGCAAACGGTAAAGACTTCGGAAACTAGGTCGAAGACGAGTTCATCAAAATGCTATTGGTCTGATACGGATCACCAGTCTCTGTGACACAAACTACCGCCTCAACTTCTAGAAAGGCGGTTCATTCGGCATATAGCAAAGCGAGTCGCAGTCGATTCATTACCGAATTTAGCGGGGAAAAGCGAGTCTCTCGTCCGTTTCTCTCTCTCTCTCTCTCTGCGCGACACATTAGACGCATCGCTGCAGCTTGTTGAAAGTTAGCCTGCTGACCCGCGCATCTGATTCGTTCCCAGGAGTGTATCAGAGATAGTTCTTCTTCTTCTTCTTCTCCACATGATTCGCGTGCGCAATTTACATTTGCGTCATACGTGAGTTTTGCAGAGTTTAGGACTCGCACTAACGGAATGTCGCAAAGCCGGCAGAAACGAGTCGGTTTGCGAAAATTGTTTACGAAATTAATTAGTTACAAGCCTCTCTCGAGGATCAATTTTTGTTTAAACCAATCGTCTGCTTTGTAGAATTACATGAATCGGCGCACGCGTGAATCGGTAACTGTGAATATGATTCGAACAACTGAACCCTAATTTATTTATTCTAATGCTCCGGATATTGCGAAACTCACGGGAATCGCGGATGTTTCTTTTAAACAATTTAAACGGTAAGCTTGGCTTGATATAATTTATTACGCGCATTGTTTCGGAAGTATGCCCAAATTTCATTCGGATCACGTCCAACTTCGTAATGACTATGAGTGGATGGCAAAGATGGAGTGGCGGCAGGACATTTCGGGTAAGCAAAGTTGCCAATGCGAAATCCTAACAGAATTTTCGAGATTATCCTGCCGGTATTTACGAGATTATCCGCGTAACCTAATTTCTCGTTTCCTCTCTCCTCCGGCTTTCTCCTAATGGCCGACAACTTTTAAGAAAGTTCTCATTAAAACTTCATTCCATTATAAGGATTAGTTAATTTGAAAGATATAAACCACAATGTTATCAGTGAAGAAAATCAATAATTATAAATTGAATTATAAAATATATTAGAGGAGATTATTACACGTGGCTCATTTAAGGTAATTATTTTATTAATTACCCCATAATTGAATTTGGCGGTAAGCACTTAAGGAATATTGTAACGTGTTATAATCGTATTAATCTAATAGAACGAAAACTAGATTATATTTCAAGTTCAAAAATAAGATTATAATTTATGATTAAGCAAGACGAGATCAGAAATCATTTTGTATGAATAATTTAATATGATATAATGGTTTAATATAAAAAATTTAATAATTTAATATTGCACACGGTGTGTGACTGACGATGTATGTAATCATTCCCTTCTTTCATTTAGCTCGTTCAAGTTTCAAAATATAAGATTAATCTTTGTTAAATCACAATATAATCTTTGTAAATTTTCTGAAGCTGTATAACCAAAAGTATAGAGAATGAAGAAAAAAAATTAAGCTGAAATAAGTTCATAAGTTGTTTTAGCTTAAATATACTCGTGAAAAGAATCTGGGAAACGTTGAAAGCTATAGTGTTATAATATTATAAATGATTATATTTAAATTATATTAACGCTATCTCGTTTAATACATTTTTTACATGCTTGCGAATTTCCAAACCCATTAGTAGTATCAGTAAATTATTCAAGATTCACATCAACGGTTATAAGTTAGTATTTGAGCGGTGAGTACAATGGATTGGTTAGTGAGTGTATTGTTAATATGACATGAATTTAGCCGAAGCCGGAGCCCAATTTGTGTCAAACGTCTACCTTATTTAAATCAGTGTCGCCGGAACCGTAGAACAAATTGACATCATAATCGCCAGAAGCGAGCTCTTCATCTGAAGCTGAAAACTATAAAAACACGTGGCATTAATAAATGAACATCAGCAAATTATTGATTCTAACGATACCCTTCGATGTAAACAGGTGCTAAAAAGTGAAATAATGCAGACATCCATTAGGGGCTTTAGTTTCGTTTTTAATAAGTCAAAATGAAAATTGAGATTAAGATCGCACTTTTTTGCCACGATTTAATCTCATTTTCTAGATGTGTTATAATCCTAAATTTGATTAAAATCGTATTATTTCAGTTTCGTAATATAAAAATTTTAATAGAGAAAAGTAATACGAGTTTATTATTATACGTAAATACATTTAAAATTAAAACTAATAAATTAAAACTGCTAAATGTTATTCTTATATAATAGATATTAAATGTAAGAAAATTCTGTTCGAATGAATTATTGTTCGAATTATTTAAGTAATTAATTAACCGTTTAAATTTATAGGAGAAAAAAACTTAGAAAAGAATTAAATAATTCGCAGCGATTTAAATTTTCCATTAATAATATACAGACTGTTGATATTTTTCGCAGTTCAAGTTGGAGAAGTAGTGCGAACGTCTCGTGTCGTATCTGTTCGCATAAAGTCTCTGTACGTGAACGGTGTCACGGTGATTTTTCGCGGCAGCGCGTTTAAATTTGCCGCATTTAATTATCTCTAAACCGTCAACGATCTTGGGGTGTTTGTTCGACGCGCGTCTTTATTGACGTGCATTCAATGTCACCGCGCTATCGCCGTGTCGTCATTTGCGTCGCGAGACTCGAGCGGGTAGCAGCGTGTCGTGGCATTACTTCTCGAAAAGCCGGTTCTACATCGATGGTAGCGTCGCAAATCATAGATTCGATCAATCAGCGTTGAATTAGAACCAGTCTACGACCCTTGCGAAACTACGACGCGACCAATGTAGAACCGGCCTAACGCGATCGCCGCGGGTACTAGTGCGACAAAGGATCGTTCTCTGGGTATACGCGAAATGCACGAAATCTTATTAATAATAAAGAATCACGACGATTCCATTACTCTGAAAGCCTTCGAGCCAACGATAGGTGTTTTATTAAGCCCTCTCCATTCGGATATGTGATAATGGGCAATGATAATGGACACGTTCTGTGCAATCGGTGAAAAGCTTGACGCGCGGCGCGAAATCTATTTTAAGTGTCATCGAGACAATTATGGTCGCTAAATATCAAACTGGCGAGTCGTATTACGTATTGAAACTGTGATTGTTTATTGGAGTGGGCTATTCTGTGTAATTTCATAGATTCGCCTGTATCGCATTGTCCAATTTTACGCCGTATTTAAATAAAATTTGTCCATCGTTTTCGTATTGAGAGTGCGGTGTGGCGCGCGATTAGTCTGGTGCGATTCAACAGAGAATCGCGATAGTTTTCAGACACAAGAATATTGGGTGTTCGATATACGTTTATCGTGTGGAGTTGGTGTTAAATTTTTTACCGCGGCGGCAAATGGGTGAACAGTTTCGGCGGCTTGTTTTTAACGGCGTCACAGCGAGCGGTTGTTTACATAAAGTCGCTTTGTTATCGTTCGCGCGGTGTGAGCGTAGGAGCCGGCACGAGCTGTGTGCCGTATTATCGCTCGGGATGCGATCGTGACAACTAACGGAAAACGCGGATCATTTGTGAACAATTAACGTGTACATCCACCTGCGAGGTTAATAAACGACGAGTATTTAATCGAGATGAAGTAATATAGAAGAATTACAATGCTTCTTTCACGACATTCAACAGGAAATAGTTCTGTGACTAACATGCGACGCGCTTGTAGATTCGAATAAATCCCGCGCCACACTTGATATTTTTCGATTAAAATGGTCATCTGTTATCTATTATTTTGAATATTATTCCCGTTTACTGAGAACGCGATATGTGAATTATACAGATCGAATAACTGACGGCGATATATATATATATGTTCATTAATAATATTTCGTGTATTTCTCAGGATTCCGCGTCGTAGTTAACGTCGGAAGTGGCGCGCAAAGTGCCGCGCGATCGTCATATTTTGGTGATTAGTGCGCGCGCGATCGTAATTAATCGTGTTTTCGCGAGTGACGTGTGAGCAATGGAGGAACCTGCGAGGAAGCCGGAGGCCTGGGAAGCATCGGGTGAGACGACAAGGCAGCCGGGTGGTGGCGGTAAGCGTAATTTATTATTCATATATTATTTATCGCGTACTAATCGTCCATTTCTATTTATTCGGCAAGTCATGGGGTAAGAATGAGAGAAAATGATTTTTATCTAGAAACTCTTATAAAAGCTTACGTTTAAAATAATTTATTTAAAAGACGGACTAAAGGAAATCGATAACAGTATTTTCTTCAAATATTCATGACTCCGAATGTTAGAATAATTTTGATTTTATGTCTGCATTTCGAGAATCAATTAATTATATGATGTAGCTGTAACTTGGCCATTGCGCGTCGCGTAGTGTCACTGACAATGAATGATAAATCTTTTATTTTAATCCGAGGTATTGGATTTGTGAATGTTATAGACAGATATCGCATTTCGCAGATCCATTGCCTTGAAATGGATAGGATAGGACAGATTAGCGCAATGTTTAACTCCGGACTATGTATAATGCCCATCGATCCATTGTGCATACAAGAAAGCACACGCACAAAGCTCATACACCGAATGGGGTTTATCACCATCGACGTGTCATTAACTTGTTTGGCACATTTGATCACTTATTGACACATTTCGGTCTTGTAATATGAAAAGAATAGCCATCATGAGGCCACAAATTGCTTGGAAGTTTTAGTTAGTTGTAAATTTGAATTTTTGGGTACAGAAAGAATGATGGAAAATATGTTACAAAACTAGGGCACGCTCAATAAAAAGTGACAGAGGAACGATAGAATAAATAATTTTGGCAAAAGAGAAGTAGTCTTGAAATCTAATAAAGATGTTCCATTAGATTATTCAGCGCTCTGTACACAGATAAGATTCTCAGAAAATTACAATTATAAATACTCTAAAGATATGATATATTAATTTTAGTATCAAGTATATTAGGATTAATTAAATTTTCGAGTGCATTGTTAATAATAAAAAATAGTGAGCCTGAGAAATAGCAATCAAAGTAAACTATGGATAAAAGTAAAAAGCTGCCAACTCTGAAATATAAAGCTTTTATTTGATATAAAGCTTTTTTTTATATTCACGTCATGTATAATGAAGATTGACGCTAGAAATAGTTAATTAAATATATTGCGCGTGTGTTAATAAGCAATAAAAATGAATATATTTACCAAACGCGTAGCGGAAAATTAATATTTAGACATGTCTTGTTATTTTCCTTTCTGTTTGTTCTTCTCAAATATTTTCATATTTTCTAAATAAACTTTGATGGTTTGCATTCGACCTACATGTATCCAGAGTTAAATATTATAAAATTTGGTACAAGGAAAAGAGTAATATGCAAAATATGCATATAAGTATGTGTAAAAGAGGAGTACAAAAATATTTTACAATCGCATATTTTTTAATCGCTAATTTATGTAACGAAAAATGTGCTAATGTCTATTTTTATTTAGAATTATAAATTGTACTTTATATTGCGCCAACATTATTTTAATCTTTTATATCTTATCCATTTATATTTATTGGCAATTTATTTTTATATCATTTGAAAGTAAACCTGCGAAATTTAATCAATTTCATTGCGATACTGAAAAGTTTTCAATATATAATGAGGAACGCTGGATCAATGATCGTTCACAATGAAATACCGCGTGTATTAATAAATATATATATTGTATGAATATCCCATAGATTGCGCTTCGTGTTGATTCGAAAATTCACCGTTCCTTTGAATGGTATGCAAACATGAATAAGCACCTTACAATGATGGGGGAAATACGATGCCACACACAGCATGGCACAAAATGAAATTGAAAACGTATATATCTCGATTTTGATCAAATTAGATTTATCTGATCTTCTACATAGTAACTCTGTGTTTCATACGTTTGATACCAGTTCATACTACAATTTCCGGGATAATTTCATATACATCAGATACAGTACATATCACGCCGCAGATGAGCAAATATGTAAACAAACGCATCTATTGAACACGGTATTCGTATCAAAACCAGCAATAGTATCGAAAGCTATGCATCGAGTCGATTGACTTATCATGTCATTGTAGGATGATTAATTTACTTCCACGAAATGCTACACATTAATCGGCGCTTTATGAATGTCGGCACATCTCTAAGAAATAGGACTTATTAAGATTTATTGTTAAACTTTAGCTTTGTAAAAGATTACCGTGTGTATGATAGATATCGTGTATTAGTAATCCTAGATTTTTTCGGCTTCTCTTCCTTCAGTGCTCGTTGATTTCCGTTTAAATATCGGCATTTTCCTGAAATTTCTCGGAATCGGTATCGAATAAACGTATCTTCGAGAGCGGAGCACTCGAAGGAAAGTGCACTCGACCTCGATCACAGACAAGCCCAAAATATTCGATGATATAGAGGGAAAATATCGCTGCATTTGCAGCGAGTATTTCACGGCATCGAGTGGAGGTTAGGGCTCAAGTACAAGGGTATTAGTCGTACAATATGTTGATCTGTCTTCGGAGATAGTTCCCCGTATTATATCCATGACAAAAGATTTTATTTTCACAATGCTTCAGAAGAGATAGAGAATACAGACGATGTTATTCATAGCGAAATTTCTTTCAAGTCAGTTTTGATCTTAAATCGACGAAGAAAATGTTGGACAGATATCATTACTTTTTATGATTTTTAAATAAACATCTAATATACACCCAGACGTACGTGTCTAAAGATATCTTTAGACGCTGTCTGAATTAGAAATTAAAACATTAAAATACTGCTAAGAAAAGATCTGTGTCAAATTGAATAAGTAATATTTTATTTTTTCTTAAAAATTTGCTTTTTATGGAAAGTCTCTCAGCTTAAAATATGATTAACGCTATAATTGATTAGAAAAAATGTATTCTAATTTCAAAAA